ATGACACATCTCAGATGCTCAACCATGCAGGTGCACTGTAAGGAAGACCTTGACAGTTGCAGTAGGTCAGAGCAAGGTTCCTCCAGCTCAGCACCTGATCTCTGGCCAACAGCAGATAGTCAAGGGTGAGATACAGGCACATAGCAAGCATCCCCAGTTGGCACCCTCAGCTCTGCCAGCAGGAGTGACAGGGGCATGTGTGCATTTGACAGCCCTGGGGAGGCTCCCTGAGCTGCTCTCCCCAAATTGTCTCATGTATTTTGAATCCACTGATATTTTTTACATTGACACCCACCTGTGACAGTCAGAGCTTCATTATGTGACTAAAAAAAGTACTTTCCTTTGCTCTAGTTTCATTTGATGTCTCCTAATTTTGAGGTTATGAAAAATACTCAGTAATTGTCCTCTCTTCAGCATGACATTCAACCTGGTTTCATCATGGCCCTTTTCTCCGTCATCTCCTTTCAGAAGTGACAAATCCTAGTCTATTTTCTCTCCTTGGATAAAAGCTGTTCCCTACCTTTGATCATAATTTTTGCCCTTCTCTGTACCTTTTCTGGATATAATGCTTCTTCCTCTTCTGAGATGGGGATGGGGAAACAAGAACTGCATGTACAATCCAAGTCGTGAGTGCTCTGTGGATTTATAGAGTGGGAATGAAGGTTCTTGTTTTATCCTCTCTTTCTGTCTCAGTAATTCCTATGATCCTTTTTTTGCTTCTTTGACTACTGCTGAGCACTCAGGCTTCAGAGCACACTAAAATGTGGAACCTATTCTGTATGACTAGTTTCGTGGCTTTTAATGAACTCTCCTAATCTAGGGGAAAAGACACAGTCCCTACCTACCCACACCTGGAACAGTGCCCAAGGTGCCTCTCTAGTAGGAGTGGGAGGATATTAGTGCTCTGAGATTTCAGTGAGCTAACGGCATGCATTTCCTTTCATTAGATGTTGTTCAGGCACTTAAACTTCAGCTCCATGCAACAGCTGTGTGAGGTAGGTAAGAATCATTAAATGAATTTCACAGATGGAGAAACTGAGACAGAGAGATTTATCCAAGTCACTTAGAAACTGTCACAAAGCCAGGAACAGACCCTGAAAATGAAACCAGTCTTTCCTTCCCCTGGCTGATGCAAGTGAAATGGCTGTTCCAGGGACTGTCCTCACCCGAGGCTCCAAGGTCACATGGTGTCTCATGGCTCTACCCCTGCAGTCCTTATCATGCCTTGGAGAACAAGAGTCCCTGCTCCAGCAAGTTGCTGGGCAAGTACATCATCCTATCCTATCCTATCCTATCCTATCCTATCCTATCCTATCCTATCCTATCCTATCCTATCCTATCCTATCCTATCCTATCCTATCCTATCCTATCCTATCCTATCCTATCCTATCCTATCCTATCCTATCCTATCCTATCCTATCCTATCCTATCCTATCCTATCCTATCCTATCCTATCCTATCCTATCCTATCCTATCCTATCCTATCCTATCCTATCCTATCCTATCCTATCCTATCCTATCCTATCCTATCCTATCCTATCCTATCCTATCCTATCCTATCCTATCCTATCCTATCCTATCCTATCCTATCCTATCCTATCCTATCCTATCCTATCCTATCCTATCCTATCCTATCCTATCCTATCCTATCCTATCCTATCCTATCCTATCCTATCCTATCCTATCCTATCCTATCCTATCCTATCCTATCCTATCCTATCCTATCCTATCCTATCCTATCCTATCCTATCCTATCCTATCCTATCCTATCCTATCCTATCCTATCCTATCCTATCCTATCCTATCCTATCCTATCCTATCCTATCCTATCCTATCCTATCCTATCCTATCCTATCCTATCCTATCCTATCCTATCCTATCCTATCCTATCCTATCCTATCCTATCCTATCCTATCCTATCCTATCCTATCCTATCCTATCCTATCCTATCCTATCCTATCCTATCCTATCCTATCCTATCCTATCCTATCCTATCCTATCCTATCCTATCCTATCCTATCCTACATCATCCTATCCTATCCTATCCTATCCTATCCTATCCTATCCTATCCTATCCTATCCTATCCTATCCTATCCTATCCTATCCTATCCTATCCTATCCTATCCTATCCTATCCTATCCTATCCTATCCATACCTCTTCTTTCAAACCAGCAAAGCTGCCAGCAAAGTAAGCCATGAACTAATTCTGAACTGTCCTATTTCTCTTCATATGATCTCACACTGGATCACAAGCAGCAAATCATAGAATCAAAGAATGGGTTGGGTTGGGAGGGACCTTTAAGGGTCATCTGGTTCCAACTCCCCTGCTGTGAGCAGGGACATCTTCAATTGGATCTTTCCATCCAAATTCTCAAGGGATGCATTGCCACAATAATGTTTTGATGGCACAGGTATGCAATGAACTGTGGGCCTGATTTTGGAAGATACTTAGTGCTCTCAGGACCTCAGTGAAGCTATTTGGGATCTCACTTTTATTCCTAACTAGTTTTAATGAGAAAGCCTGGGTGCTTCAAGGAGCTGACAGTGCATTATGAAGCCTTTTAACAGACATCAAGGGCACGTAGTGATAGGCCAAGGGGGAATGGCCTTAAGCTGAAGGAAGGTAGATATAAATTCGATATTGGGAAGGAATTCTTCCCTGTGAGGATGCTGAGGCACTGGCACAGGTTGCCCAGAGAAGCTGTGGCTGCTCCATCCCTGGGAGTGTTGCAGGCCAGGTTGGATGGGGCTTGGAGCCACCTGGGCTGGTGGGAGGTGTCCCTGCCCATGGCAGGGGGGGAAATAGGTGGGCTTGAAGCTCCTTTCCAACTCAAACCATTCTGTGATTCTATGATCAAGCACAGATCATGTCTGGGAGTTATTACTATTGGGCTGTGAAACAGGTTTTGTGGAGCAAGTCAACAGACACCCTTATCACAAACTGTTCTCACTCGTGGACACTCTGTTTGCCAACCTCACTAGCAAATGCAGCAGCTAAATGGCCACAGATTCTGAGAGATATCCTCAGTCAATCTCCTACTAGAGCAAAACATGCACTGCAAGGGAAACTTCTGAAACTTTTTACTGAAAAAGATGCTGCTGTGCTTTTCCTGTAGAGACGGAGCCTAATACTGTTAGCTTGCACTTTGGGGATTTGTATGCTGTAGTGCCAGATGAGAGAAAAATGTCACTGCCAGCATCTGCTGCCTTGACAGATCTGACTGCCTAAACCTGGAAAACGACTCTGAGATCAACAATTGTAAAAAGAGCACATTAGAGAAAGAAGAAAATGCTTCTGATGTGGAGAAGAGCATTTTCTCTTGAGAGCTATTAATTTTTCATTTAGTTCTGCAACAAGACACCAGTGCAGACCCTGCCCCATGTGGCACAAATTTCCCCTGTGGACCCTGCAACATTGTGATCTCTTTGACTAAAATACTGACAGTACTGGACTATATTTTAAATATAGTCTTAAATTTTGTGTGCCTTTTACAGCAAGAATGACAGGTGAACACTGACTGCCACAGCCCATGCAAGGGGTTAATTATAGTAAACCTGTGGAGGATGCCACATATATAGTGAAGAACCCACAAAGTTCCTCTCTGTGTGGAAATGAACAAAAGGAATCCCATCCACTGCAGCAAATGGGTCATTCCCACAGGGAGAAGGGACCTGGTAACAAACTATTTGCTCTCTCTGCTGCTGTCTGTCCCAGAGCTCCATCAGGAAAGCCTTGACAATACCAGGATTGCACAAAATGCAAAATCAAGGGGAAAAGATTCCAGCTACTCATGCTGTTTGTAGATAAATTACACCCAGAAATGGCTGAGACAGCTGGATATCTGACAGGAAAACTGGGTTTTCCAGAGAAAACGCTAGAGCCAATTTGCAGTTAATTACTGTGATTTGGAACAGCTCTGTGAGTAAATACCAGCCTCTGATTGTCCAAGTAAGGAAGATAATTGTTTCCTGAACTGTGTCCATTGTGTACTTAAAATGTTGTCAGCCTGGTCCTTTCTCAAACTCGGAAGAGGTTTGGTTTTCAGCAAAGAGAACCTGCTACTTTTATGTTGACAAGCAGCTAAAACCCTAATGCTGAGCATCATATATGCCATGAAAGCAATTTATGGAGCTCCACAACTGTATGTGTTCTATACATCATATGATCTCTGATTCTATGATTTATAAAGCCATCTCTCCTAATGATGAGGCTGCTGGATGACACAGGAGCTCACGGTTGCAAAGCAGTCCTGCTGTCACTGGTGAGACAGTTTGAGGACAAGGAGGACTGGAAGGTCACCAGGCGCTGCCAGCCCCAAAATGTGCCAAGCATCACATTGCTGCAAAGGGCATAGAGGAGTGGGCAGCAAGAGAGAAGGGATGTGTCTTGGAAAAGCCTCCAAATTGTGTTACCAATTTTTTTTTTTTCCTCTTAAGAGCAACCAGAGGCAAAATGATTTGTAGAGAGTCAACTAACATTTGAAAAATGGATAGAATCATGGAATTGTTTATGTTAGAAAAGCCCTCCAAGATCATCAAGTCCAACCATTCCCCAGCACTGCCAAGGCCACCACTGACCATGTCCCCAAGTGCAACATCTACACAGCTTTTAAATCCCTCCAGGGATGGTGACTCCAGCACTGCCCTGGGCAGCTGTGCCAGGGCTGGACAAATCTTCAAGTGAAGAAATTTTCCCTAATATCCAATCTAAACCTTCCCTGGCACAACTTGAGGCTGTTTCCTCTCTTCCTGTCACTTCTGCCCTGGGACAAGAGACTGACTGACCCACACTTGGCTCCAACCTCCTGTCAGGGAGTTGGAGAGAGCAAGAAGGTCCTACCTAAACCTCCTTTTCTCCAGCTCCTCTTCATCAGACTTGTGCTCCAGACCCTTCAGCAATACTGATACATTCACTAAAAGGCAAACCAAAACCTCCACAGGTGCCAGAACGGTTTCTTAAGGAGTTGGAGATACTTTTCTCACAGAAATATTGTCTCACCTGAGTCCAGAGCAGGTGCTGAGGCTGACAGAGGAGTCAGGGTACCCTTGCACGTTGCCATGGTAATAGCAGTGACCCTGAGGGCAACAAAGAGAAAACATTTCAATAGTCATAAATGCTATTTGCTCATGGGTTTCCATCCCTTTCATTTCAAAGTGAATATCAGTTTCAGGCTACAGCATTCAGAATCACTTATGGCACTTTTTATGTCCCACAAATAACTTGCTGTCCCTAAGAGGTCAAACAGTTCCTCAATGGAACCCCTGGGTGAGTTTTAACCCCCAAAGGGTTACAAGAGGCTTTTTGCTTTGGTTTGAGGGTTTTTTTTGGGGTTTGGGGGTTTCTTTTTATGAGGGTCAAGGGTGCTTAGTTTGTGTGAGTGAACACCATTTTTTATGTTATTTATTTAAAGCTACAATATGGGATATTTTATACAACTAACCAGATGAACAAATCAGCTGCTACATTTTACTGCTAACATAGCTAAATACATATATAAATACACACATGCACACACATATACATATCTATAAAATACTGCTAAAATAGAAACTCCTCTTTTATTTAAGGTCATTTAGATCTATGTGCCCCTATAGGAGGTAGCTGTGTATAAAGATAAGTATGAAAAAGCCAAACCCACCCCTAAAGTTTGAACAAAATCACAGAGTAAATGAAAGGGAAGGGAAACAGGTTGGAAAGAAAACCTTTTATTGAATTACCCAAGCAAGTAGCTGCATGTGTTATTAAGAACAACCAAGAATAAGAGGGTCTTCTATTTTGAGAGGCAACAGTCCAATTTCATTTTGTGGCTGGGTTATTGTATTTCTTTAATAATCCACTGCTTGCAAAAGGGACCCACAACACAGAGGGTTTCTCAGCACATACACATATCTGTCTGGAATCAAGGCTAATTTTATTGTTGACTAAAGGTTATATTACATTCCCAATTATGTGACTGGCTGGAAAGCAATGATTGTGTCACGTCCAGCGTTTCTTTTCTCATGGCTCCTTTGAATGCCACCTGGAAACACTGCAGTAAAAGGTTCCTATCTTATTAGAGCAAAGAAAAGTTATCACTCATGCTTCACCCTGACAGTCATCTCACTGTGCCTTTTCATTACTGGGTTCATTCACATCCAGCCAGCTGTGTTAATTAACCTTTTCAGTTTGGGGCATGGTTTTCACCTGCAAAGCCTCATGCTGCAGACTTCTAAAGCCCACCTTGATTTTGGGAAAGAAAGCAATAGCCATGAAAATTCTAGTCGAGATGGAATGATTCAGATATGAGTTTTCTGCAAATAAGGTTATACCATGAAAAATGTTTGTTTAGAGCATCTTTATTTCCAGCATGAGCAAGTGAACACGGAACAGCCACATCTGACTTTCTCAATGCAAACCTCAATAGCATTTCTCAGTGAAAGAAGCTACAGAAACAGCGTAATAGTGTTTTACTCTTGGGTGTTTTTATCATCTATGCGCATAAAAAGTCAGGAACATATGAGCAAGGAGAAAGCCACAAGAGGAGGGAGAGAGTCCCAGATTGAATTTTGGGGGGAGGGTTGTTTCAGGCACAGCTGCTGTGGGCATCAAAGTTTTCAGTGTGAGGGCACTAATTCACTTTAATCTTATCAGTTACATGCAAGCAGTTGAAAAGACAGGAGGAAAATCAATGCCCCCCAACTCCAGCACAGATTCTAATATAGTCATCATTTCATAGTAGTTTCATAGTATGTTAAGGGGTTGGAATGGATCTCAGAGGTCACACAGCCCCAACCCCTGCCCTGGGCAGGGACACCTCCCACCAGAGCAGGTTGCTCAAGGCTCATCCAACCTGGCTGTGAACACTGCCGGGGTTGGGGCAGCCACAGCCTCCCTGGGCAACCTGGGACAGTGTCTCACCACCCTCACAGGGAAAATGTCTTCCTAAGATTTAACTTAAATTTCCCTCTTTCCATTTCTCCCCATTGCTCCTTGTCCTGTCACTGTAGCTCCTGACAAAGTCACCCTGAATCAGGCAAGAAAAAATGAAATGGGTTTGCTCTCGTTGCTTACAGTTAGCATAAGGCAGAAGGAGAGTTCAGAGCTCTGAAGAAGAAATCTTTGGGGTTTAGCACACCAGGGCTCAGCACAGTGCCCAGCGTATCCAGGAGGGTGAGCTGCTATCTCACCCCACACAGCTGCTGCTGTGGTCCAGCTGTCTTTATCAAAGAGTGAATTATGGCAAAGGTCCTGATTTCTTTCCCTCTCCACATACAACTTGTCATTTTATTAACTCTGAGCTCCTTGTTGTGGCCCATTTCCCAATTTCTCTGAGATCCACATGCTATGTGATGCCAAAGTTCAGTATCGAAAATGTGAACTTACCAGAGCATGGACTGCAATGGGACTGGGAGAAAATTGATTTCTAGCTCAGTAACTCCACTGAATTGCAGGGTTTTTTTGTCTCCTATCAAATCTTTTCATTCCTGTAAACTAGTCTATAAAATGGATGACGCCCTAAAAACAAATAATTACCAAAGCTGATTTGTCATACTTAAAACAGAACTTCTATTCTAGCTGGAGCTCATTTAACAAACAGCAGCTTTTGACAGTTTTTCAAGTGCTATGCAGCAGAAAAATAACCTAGATATTCCCTCTTGTGTTAGACAACTTTCCCCAACGACAGCTCCACGGACCTGACTTGCTTTGACCTCCAAGCAGAATTTGACTAAGCAACTTTTCAATGGAAAATCGGATTTAGTCTCAACTCCAGACTGTATTGATGTCCTCAGTGAAGAAGAGATATAAAAATGAAATCACAGAGACTTATCTTTTCCAAACCATTTTGCAGCATTTAATGAAAAATGAATTCAGTTTTCTCTCTCACAAAAAAACCATCTTTTCGGCAGTGAAAAGCAATGTCATTATTAATCAGGACTCACTGCCGTTATGCAAACAGATATTTTTTAGGAAGAGAAAACTATCAGTATCTGTACACATATTCATGTTAACGTTGGTGAATCTCTAAAGGACTTGTGTGCTTCATTTATTCTCTTTTACTTCCTTCAGGACTCTATAAAACCTTCCTGGTTCTGAAACAAATGACTATTTTCTACCAAGCTGATTTTGAAGAAGATATGAGCATCCAGCAAAATGAAAGCACTGAAAGCTTCCAGAATGATTGCTTTACTTGGGAGGGCTGGAGCATAATGAAGATGCTCTTTCAGAAGGAAGATGTAATGCATAGAAATAATTCCTTTCCCTGATAGCAGCAGAGCCCATTGTGGATGGGAACACAAAGCAGGATGCCTCTGCTGACAGCATCAATAAACAAATAACATCACATAACAGATACTTTGTAGGACTTAGGCATATAAAAGATAAGCTCTGTAATTAAAATGGCTTGCTGCATTAGTTCTAATTAAGGCTTTCGTACTGTCAGAGGACAAAAACATTTCTGCCTTAAAAGGGTTTTTAAACTACTTACTTTAACAAGCCATGCTTTAAATATATTTATATATGTGCATAAACACACACATACATACACACACCTGTACATATACATACCTATAGATACATATAGATATATACACATGTAGAGCATCAGAGAATCAGAGAATCCCAGAATGGTTTGGGTTGCAAGGAACCTTAAAGATCATCTAGTTCCAACCCCCTTGCCATAGGCAAGGACACCTTTCACCAGCCCAGGGTGCTCAGAGCTCCATCCAACCTGGCCTTAAACATGTGCCAGAGTACATACATACATATATGTATATCAAGTATATCCACACCAGTCTTATGTCCTGGTTTAAAATCTAAATCCAAATCAGTCCCTCTCCCAAACCTCAGCCATGGCTTCCCCAGTGAGGAATGACACCCAACCTTCAAAGCTCTGATGTGAGCTGCTGCACTATGGAAACCAGGCAGAATCATAGGATGTTAAGGGGTTGGAATGGACCTTAGAAATCATCCAGCCTCAACCCCTGCCCTGGGCAGGGACACCTCCCACCAGAGCAGGTTGCTCAAGGCTCATCCAACCTGGCTGTGAACACTGCCAGGGTTGGGGCAGCCACAGCCTCCCTGGGCAACCTGGGACAGTGTCTCACCACCCTCACAGGAAAAACTTCTGCCTGATATCTAATCTAACTTTCCCTCTTTCCATTTCTCCCCATTGCTCCTTGTCCTGTCCCTGCAGTTCCTAACCAAGAGTCTCTCTGCAGCTTCCTGGAGCCCCTTCAGCTCCTGCAGGTTGATTGCTATGAGATCTCCACAGAATCTTCTCCTCTCCAGATATTTAGGCTTTTCTTTCCTAGACCCAGAGTTTTCCTCCATAACTGACCAACAATGGCTGTATTTATTACCACATTTTAATGGCTCTATTTCCAAGAAGAGGAATAAATCTCCCAGATTTTAAAAGCCACCTGGTGCAAAACCCACAGCTTGCCTTTAAAGTCTCTCTCTAAAAATCCCTGTGTAGGATCACAGCAGTCAAAAAGATACTGAAGGCAACAATAAAAAAAGATCACACGTTGAGCTGTTTCATCCCAGGGCTCAGATCCTGGCAGAGAGCACTTTGGGTTTTATGGATGAAGCATCATCTAGCCATGAAAGCCCAACCTTACCGTGTAATTGCGTGTGAGCACCACATCAGTGCCGTCCTTCAGATAATGTGTCTCTGTGAAGCTGCTGGCTAACAGGCCCCTGGAAAAAACACAGCACACAGAATATTAAGGCCACATCACCTTGGTTTTGTCCTTTAGTGGTTCTGTTTGAGATAGTGATCAAAGCCAGGCATTAAGGATACAATGACTCCCAGGGCTGTGTGTGGAATAAGGAAATAGAGAACTCCCAATACTGAAGCTGCAGGACATGAACACTTCCTGTGGTAATTGTGAAAGGACTAAGTTTCCAGACTGTTTTCTCTTCCAAATGAGGACTGTGTGCCAGCACATTACAGAATTGAATCTTCTTCATGCAATTTTCAACACATTTTACATTAAATGGGAACTTTAGGCATTTGGAGTACTGTTAAGTTATGGTAGTTTGTTGAAATGGAAAATGTTTTCCCTGGGTTACTTGTTTTCCTATGTGATCTGTTGTATTCATCAGCAAGTGACCACCCAAAGATTAATCTAGCTCTTCTTCCATTGACACTCAAGGGAAAACACTGCATGAGCACCACAGATGTTAGAGCACTGGAGTTATTCTGATCATCTGCAAAGGATATTCACAACTGGAAATCTAACAGCTTAATATGATGTACCAGGAGATGGTGACAGACCATGTCTGTGATGAGGCATTTTGTTCCCATTCTCTCTAAACTTCCCCTCCTGCCTTTGGCAAAGATAGAAAACATTTTGACTTGCAATTGTCATTTCCCAGAAATCTCCAGAGAGGTCATGTGTGTGACAACTATGGAAACTTCTCTCTTTGTGGGAAACTCATGGAATAGGGAAAGCTGCATCTGCCTTTTCTATAAAAAAAAAAGTCTTGCTATTGATCGGTTTCAACTCCTTTTCTAAAGAACATTTCTAGCAAAGCCAGAAGGAAGAATATTTATCCACCTTTACTCCTACATAGGTCTTGAGCTGTGCTCCTCAACACAGACATGCTTGAGTTTTGACAAACTACAAATGCACAATATAGAAGAAGCCAAAGATAAATGCCACCATCACCTTCAGAGAACTGGAGAGTGTGGAGTACTGAAAACCTTTGTTCACTGCATTTCACACTGTACTTTCTATTCCACTTCAAAGATGTGTTTCTCCCTTGGATTGTTCATTCAAACCAACCAGGCCCTTTTCTGCTATTTAGAGCTGGTTCGTCCTGCACTCTTGCATCTCATCATCATGATCATAGTATGTTAAGGGACTGGAATGGACCTTAGAGATGATCCAGCCCCAACCCTTGCCCTGGGCAGGGACACCTCCCACCAGAGCAGGTTGCTCAAGGCTCATCCAACCTGGCTGTGAACACTGCCAGGGTTGGGGCAGCCACAGCCTCCCTGGGCAACCTGGGACAGTGTCTCACCACCCTCACAGGAAAAACTTCAGCCTGATAGCTAATCTAAATTTCCCTCTTTCAATTTCTCCCCATTGCTCCTTGTCCTGTCCCTGCAGTTCCTAACACAGAGTCCCTCTGCAGCTTCCCTGGAGACCCTTCAGCTCCTGCAGGTTGCTCTGAGGTCTCCACACAACCTTCTCTTCTCCAGGCTGAACCATATATACTAGTATGAACCATTACACAGTCTTGGTACAAATTTCTTGCGCGATGTATAAACATTAAAACTGGAACATAAGCAAACATTTAATTTTCATGATGATTAATTTGCATCACATTAATATCCAATGGCTCCATCAGGGTTTGGTTGTGCTAGGAACTGTACAAACACTTATTACAGAGCAAATCCATCTCCAAAAGTCTCTGCCTTTAGGTTGAAATATAAAGCCAAAGATGAATGAAACAAGACCAAAAATCAAAAAGAAAGGAGGAAAAAGAAGGAAATAAGAGGGAAATGGCAAGGTAAGGGATGAAGCCCCAACACAATGGGTATTCAAACAGATTCTTACTTTACATTTTTCAGCTTGTGGGAAATATTAGCATATAAATAGAAACTGAATGCTAAAACACTGCAGCATTTGGTGGAATTTACAGGAATTGCTCTGGATCTCAACCAACCACCAAAAGTATAGCAGAGTTTGATTGCCCAACCAAGTATCTAGTGTTGATTTAGATATGCTGTATATATTACACCAACCAGCCCCATAGGGACACCCCATCGCTGACCTCACCTCTGGTGCCTGCAACCTCCAGAAGTCCTGCCAGAAACAAAGTGGGCTGTATCCATAGAATCAGAGAATCACAGAATGGTTTGAGTTGGAAGGGAGCCTCAAGACCATCTAGTTTCACCCCTGCCATGAGCAGAGATATCTCCCACCAGCCCAGGTTGCTCCAAGCCCCATCCAGCCTGGCCTAGAACACTCCCAGGGATGGAGCAGCCACAGCTTCTCTGGGCAACCTGTGCCAGTGTCTCAGCACCTCACAGGGAGGAATTTCTTCCTAATATCTAATCCAAACCCACTCTCAGTTTGAAACCATTCCCTGCTGTCCTGTCACTACATGCTTGGTACATACTCCCTCTATGTTTCCTACTGTCTCATTATCACAAAGAGCAGCTGCTTTCTTAATTATCATTATTATTTATGTAACAAAGTTTCTAAGTCCTGCACTTAGCAGGCATTAATTCCCTCTGTAAAGGCAAGATCCCACTGTTGAAGCCAACACAGCTATGTGTGCACTTTTTGGAGATGGGGTTTCATATAGGACAAGGGAGTGAGTTTTATTTAATGGGACAAAATACAGGCAAGGGGAACAGATGTAGCATAAGGGCAAAGTGATTGAGCAATACACTTGCTTTGTGCTCTGCTATTTCCAAGGTGTTTGACAGCAATGATGATAAAGGTGACCTTTCTGCTGTTGCTCATTCTGTCCTCAGGCACAGATTTAGAAGATATTTCATAGATCCCTGGGTTTTAATGCCAGAAGGGAGCGCTGTGATCAGCTACCTGACCTGCCCCATTACAGGGGTCATTTGTCTCAAATTTATCTTCTGCTACAATGACAGGGAAGAAACCAGATCCATTTTCTTACTGCAAAGAGCCCTTGCCCAGATCTCCCATGATGAAGAAGCTATCACAAGCCTGGCAGGTTCCCAACAGTTAACTAAGCCCAATCTAAAAACACTGCACTTTATATCTATTTCAACTGTGCCAAAATTCAGTTTCCAGCCACTGGATCTCATTCCCTTACATCAGTGCTTCATTTTGGTTTGAGGCTTTCATGGACAGCTCTCCTTACTAAAGTGAAGAAACATAGCAGGTAAACAAATTCTTGGTGTAACTGTCATCAATCTCCCTATCAGCATGAAAGTTTGTTATTTACCCCAAAACTAGAAGATGGACATAACAATTCCCAGTGTGAGCAGCAAAAGACTGGTAAGAACACCAAGATAATGGAGTCCCTCTGTTGCGCTAACCTAAGAGAGTGTATAGCCCAATGTAGAGGACAAAGCTGTGGCTGCCCCATCCCTGGAAGTATTCAAGGCTAGGTTGGATGGGAGATTTAGATTAGATATTAGGAAGGAATCATTCCCTGTGAGATGCTGAGGCACGGACACAGGTTGCCCAGCTGTGGCGCTCCAGCCCTGGAAGGATTCAGAGCCGGGCTGGATGGGGCTTAGAGCAGCCTGGGCTGGTGGGAGGTGTCCCGGCCCATAGCAGGGTTGGAACTAGATGGTCTTGAAGGTCCCTTTCAACCCAACCCATTCTGTGATTCTACGATTTCAAATCATGGAAATTTCATGTACCACTGGGAAAAAGAGACAGTTTTTCAGGAGTCTGCAATAACACTCCTTCAGTTCAGTAACTAAGACATCATTGCTGAGACATCTGTTCTCCTGCCACATACAGTGCTGGTGCTGGGCTGAGAGTAAGCCAGAGGGAAGGTTCTCTCCACACTGCAGAGGCTGAGGACCTCTGCAAGACATGTTGCCAGGGAGTCCAACAGCTCTGGCAGAGAAAGAAGCTGTTATCCCCACTCTTAAAATGTCTAATATCCTAAAAGCTGTACAGCCACATGCACAGCATTAGTACCCAGGGATAGCAAGGCATGGAGAGGCATTTCTGGAAAGGTTATGAAAATGAAGTGTAACAAGCACTCAAATTCCCCTCCTGAGTGTGCACCACTTCACTTTCCAATTATGGCAATAATGTTTAACATACCAAACAATGAATTCAGCATATGTATCTATTAGGTAATTTAATTACCCTCCCACCCCCCAAAGATATGCAATATAAGAGATTGATTTACATTTCTGGGTTTGACCCAGAGTAAAAGGAGATTAATAGAGAAAAGTAAATTAATTTAGATGGCAAGCTACTTAACCTAATTGGATCAATGTAATTCTGAAAGAGCAGGGATCAAAATAACATTAATATATCATAGTGCAATTCATCACTGTGTCTGGAGTTACAACTGTTGCCAGCTACAATGCTCAGCAGTGCCAGATGATTATCAATATTTTGCCCTGCATGAAGAGGCAGAAACAAATGCTGTGGAGCACTGCATCAGCTGCTGGGTATGACTGAAATAATCAGCTGAAACAACACCACAACTTCCTCATTTATCCTCCGATTCTTGAGTAAATTACTTATGTAGTTAGTTGCTATGTTTGTCAGCACTGTGGATTTTTTTCACATTGCATTGAATCACAGAATGGTTTGGACTGGAAAGGACCTAAAGACCATTTATTTCCATCCCCCTGCCATGGGTAGAGACACCTTCCAAGTAGCCCAGGTTGCACAGGGCCAAATTAAGAAGCAGAAGCCTTAGTGGCCCAGAAGGACAAGTTTCATCCCTCCTGATCTCTGACAGACACAGCACAGATTTCCTCATCCTCTGTAAAACAGCAGGAAACTTACCTGTCAGATGTGCTGAAGCATTTTCAGGTGCCAAACAAGCTCCCAGTAACCTAAGCCTCAGGGAATGTGATGAGTGCTATTTAAATGTCTAATCCTCACCTTCCTGGCCCCCCACAACATGAAACCTTAGGTGGTTTGGGGAGGGGGAAAATGTCGTGATTTAAACACATCATATTTTGTACTCCAGCCCTTTAATGGCAGGAATGGTAATTTAACACACTG